GATCTAAATTGCATTGAGGATGTAGTTCTTCATGATCATGAAGTACTACATCCTCAATGCAATTTGTACGCAAATGTATCTTGCTATAACTATATGCATGATAATATGATAGCAAGAGCTTTCACCTCTATGTGAAGATATTAAACTGACGATTCCAACAAGATCATAGACAATCCATCTCTATCAAGAATGATGATTTCAAGGTGCAATATATTCATTCAAGTTAATATGGCTGATTTGTTCATCAAATCTCTACCAAAGATCTTTTGAAGATGGTGCACAAGATTGGAATGCAAATGCTCAAGGATGTGAATTGATGCTCTCATCAGGGGGAGTTAATGCGCGTTGCACTCTTTTTTCCTTACAAGGTTTTGTCCCACTGGGTTTTCCTTGCAAGGTTTTTAACGAGGCAACCAAAAGGCGTATTGTTAGATATGTGTACTATTTTTCCTTCTCTAGAATTTTTTTCCCACTGGTTTTATTTTAGTTAAGGTTTTAACGAGGCACATTATCTGTTGAATAGACATTCAAGGGGGAGTGTTATAAATAGAATTGTATTTATGGTGAACGTCTATATCTAGAGAGATTCTAGGGTTCATTGCTTGGTGGCTAAGTCACCCTCTCCCTATAAATAGAGGGTTCTATTCCATTGTAATTCACCCTAAAAATCAATAAGAATTCCTTCTCTCTCTTTCTCTGCAATATTGCTCTTGTTCTTTTATTGTTTTATAACACTTTCTATATTATGGATATAATACTTCCATAGATAATGTGACTTGGCCCCGTTTAATTTTGTTAAGATTAAGATATTTGAATTTGAATATATATTTCATATTTAAGCTATTAATGTCTAAATCAGAATATTAAATAATAACCTTTTAATAGAGGTTTTATGGAGATGTTTGGAGTTTAGGTGTGGTATACATTAGAGCGATTAAGGACATATAGGATGGAATCAAGACCCGAGAGAGGATAGTAGAAAGAGACTTGGAACACTTACTAGTCGAGATGAGATTGCATTACAGATTAATTCGTAGCCCATTTTTCTTTGCCTTGATGATATATGAATTGATACGGCATACTAAAGGGGGTACCATGGTGTATGTTATTTGTAGATAATATAGTATTGATTGACTAGATACGCGGCGGAGTGAACGATATACTAGATATTTGAAGACAGATCCTAGAGTCTAAAGGTTTCAGGTTGAGCAGGACTAAAACAGAGTCCATGGAGTGCAAGTTCAGTGATGCATCACATGAGATGGATGCGGAAGTGAGGATTAGTATACAAATCATCCCGAAGAGAGGAAGCTTCAAGTATTTTGGGTCAATAATCCAAGGAAATGGGGAGATAGACAATGATGCCAAATATCGTGTTGGAGCATTAGATGAAATGGAGACTCGCATCCGGTGTTTGATAATGTCCAAATTCACTCCTATTAAATAAAAAGTGTCCACTGTCATATGCAATATAATTATCCAACTATGAATGGGGATTGAATCCCACAAGAACAATACAAGGGTGATTGAGAAAGTAAAAGAATTGTCATTCACTAACTCTAACCAAATGAAATCAAGTATAGTTTGGTTTTAAACTTGTCACAACCCAAAATCCAACTAGCCGTGATGGCACCTAACCCAACCCGCTAGGTAAGCCAGTTAACAATAAACCAGTTCAAATGGTATTTATTAAAAGAAGAAGCGATGATACAACTGAGTTGTTATACAAAGAATTCCCAAGGACTGGTAGTACATGTCATGAGCTTCTAAGATTTAGAGTTTACAAAGCTGGTATGAAATAAATACATTATCTGTTTGAAATATACATGAACAAATTCACAATTCTAAAGCTACCAAGGACAAGAGGCAGATATGACCTGAATGCAGGTACACATTTAATGCCAGCTCCCGCCATACACAGCAACATCAACATCCAAATCTGCACGCAAGGTGCATAGGTGTAGTATGAGTACAACCGACCACATGTACTCAATAAGTAACAAACCTAACCTGAGGTTGAAAGTAGTGACGAGCTGGAATAGAGGTCGGAGTCCAACACCAATAGCCAACAATAGTTCGTAACAAAATAATAATAATGGTACAAGAAA